TCACCCACCGGCATTCCCTATTGTAAGAAGACCACATCTTATCAAATTCATGACAATAAAAAAAATCATTGCAAATTCATTATGTAACTAACATATAGTAATTGTAAGATTTTAAAAAATTAGATTGATTATTGAATCGAGAAAGTCAATGATTGAAGGATCAATGATTGGATCATGATTAAATTCAAATTGGTTATGATTAATTTAATATATTTCTAATTTTTATTGTTGAATATAACAATATAGGTAATATTTTATAAAATATTATCTTACAAGATTAAATTTATAGGATAAGTTTAAATAATTTTTTTCTTTTATTTTTAAATACAGGTTTTTTAGTTTATAAAAATTGAAAAGCAAGGTGGTGAGATGTAACAAAATTGAAACCAGTAATAAAATGTTATTACTTTTGGCCAAAAAAAAGTAAAATGTTATTACTTGTTTTCAAAAATATAATTTAAGAAAATTAATAAATATATAATTTAACAAATAAAAAGAAAATATTTATGAGATCTAATATTTATATAAGTGATAAAAATTATTTCAAAATTTATAGTTTTATAAAATACGTGGATTTCTTGCACATTTTCCCCTAATTTTTCATTTTTGAATATTATAATATATAGATATGCATAAAATGAAGCTTTTAAGCATGATTTACATTTTTAAATAATTAAAGAAAAAATATTCTGACCTGTTCACTTGTTTTACTGGTTTTCTACCGATTCTGGACCGGTTCCAAGTTTTAACTTGGATACCAAACTGAATGATAAATCGATGCCCCATTGAATCGGTCTACTCTATTTGTTGTTTGTTTGTTTGTTTGTTTTTTTTTTTCAAGGAGGGAAGCCTCAGCTGCAGCTTCTCTAATTGAGAGAAATTTCGATAATCCAAATTTAATATTTATTAAAATAAGAAATTATATAACCTATAAATTTTTTTGATAAATCTGTTCATCATTCTGGACTCAAGATAGTTTAAATTTAATACAGATGGTTCAAAATTAATATTAAAAAAAAAATACTAATTTTAAATTTGCACTATCTAGGGTATATCTAGATAGTCAAGTTATAAAAATTATAAAATTTTAATATTAAATTTAGACTATATATATATATGTATTAAATCTAGAGGAAAATTTATATACTTATGCTTATATATTTAAAGTGTTTGTATCCAATTAAAGATATATGAATCTTTTATAAATGATTTTTTTTATAATAAATTTTTATTATTAATTAAATTAATACATTAGGATCCACATATCATAATTTTATTTGATATACATATATTAAATACATAAGGCTAAGTATATAAGTCTTACCCTTAAATCTATTTTTTTCAGACCGCTAAATAGATTTATTAATTTTTTTATAATTTTCATAATCTTTATTTTAATAAAAATAAAATAGAAATATTAAATCTAGATTATTCAAATTAAATTTAGATAGTCCAGATTTCTCTTGGAGGTATGGCAAGGCTTCACCCTTGAGAAAAGCTAAGTCCATTTTTTCAAAACATTGCATGTAATATTGGTTAATATTGTTATTTGGAAATACTCCAATTTAGTTAGACATTATAAAACAATTATAACATGAAGAACATTGAAACTATAGTTTACTTTTTCTGCTTGTATTGGTAACCTGCTGTAGATAATATTGCTTATCAAAAATCTTGTTATGAACATTAATTTTTCTTTTATTTGAAATTGTTGTTTAAAACCCATTTATTTTTCTTTATCCTGTTTATTTTTCTTGTAAATAATAATTATTAAAAAAAAATAAAGAGCGCATTCTAATGAGGTATTAGATTTAAATGTATGCCGAAGAGATAAGAAAATTTACGGGGCAAGCGAATCTCGGACAATCTCCTCATGAGGACCAAGCAACAAGATCTATCCTTTTCTATAAGGCCAGAGGCTTTATTATCTGCTTCCACAATCAGCGGGACAAGATACAAGCAATTGAATGATTACTTTCAAAGTTATTCACAACTCTAACTAGCTATGCCCCATGTATGAAAATAAATTCCAATTTGTCGCAACTTGTCTTTTAAGTTAGGAAAAATTAATTTGTAGGTCCTTTTAATTTCCATCAATTTTGATTTAAATCTCTATAGTTTATTTTGTTTTAATCAAGCTCTTATAATTTAATTGATTAAATATATTAGTCATTGAAAAATAAAATTATTAATGAATGATTAAATTTTTTCTATACAAAAATACTTTTAAAATTTATATAAAAATTGATTCAATTTTCTTAACCCAAAAGGGCAAAAATACAATTTTATTTAATACAATTTTTAATTTTTTATTATTTTTTTAAAAAATCTGTCTATATAAAAATTATTTAGTAAACATAATCTAATTGTATAAATGTTGGGTAATAAAAATTATGTAATTAATTTTAGAGTATATAATATTTTAACAAAAATATACACGATTTTTATTTCATTTTTTTAAAATAAAAAGATTAAAATTTTTAAACTTGAGGGATTAACATATTTAATCAATCAAACTATAATGACTTAATTAAAATAAAATAAACTACAATGACTTAATTCAAAATTGAGGTAAACTGGAAGGACCTAATCTTTTCCACCAGAACCAAATTACAATGGGAGAATGATAGTTAGGTCCTAGAAGTTTGAATTAATGACAATTAAGTTTCTAACAAAATTTTCTACAAAAAATTTAAATATCAATTCAAACAATGATGAATAAAAATTCCTGTTACAATTTAAAATTTATATTTGATACTTAATTACATATTTGTGATTGAAACTTTTAAATTTATAATTATCTGTATTGATATTTTTAACTTATTTTTCTAAAATTTTTGTGATGTACCTAACTATTATTAATTTAACATTCTGGGTCCTAACTGACATTTTCTCAATTACAAAACCACTTGATATATAGGTAGTTTGATGAAGCCCTGCCGAGTGTAAAAAGAGGGGATAATTACATTTAAATTCACATAACACAGTTATTAAATATTATAAATCCCCTTGACAATTGAGCATCGCAGCGTGACAATTAAAACATATTGGTATTTAGTTGTGTTATGGGAGAAAATTGCATATAATTCTCCCTAGGTTTTAAAAAAAACCATAATAATATATACTTTAGAGTTAATTTGGATGGAGGGAAAAGTGAAAAGAAAATAAGGAGAGAAGAGAAAATTATACAAAACTTTTTCAAAGAAAGTAATTTTCTTAGGGAAATCACATCCAAGGACCACTTAAGGAAATTATTTACAGACATGGACTAATACACACAAAATAGATTGTTATTAAAATAAGAATATGACTTGTTTTTTTTCTTTTGAATGAGCCTTATTAATCCTTATTTGTGAATAATTTGCTTCATTAGTTTTTAAATATGATTCTTTCTTTTTTTTTATAACTATTTTTGGAGTTTTCCCTCCTTCCTATTTTTCTTCCCATCCAAATCAAGGGTGAGGCTTTGCTTGGAATGGGAAGAAAATAAATAGAGGAGATAAAATTAGGGAGCAAAAAACTTTTTTCACCCTTCTTTTCCCACAAGGAGGGGCAAATTAAAAAAAAAAAACTTAATATGTTTAAGAGAAAAAAATAATTTTCCTATTTTTTTTCTCCTTCCTATTTTGTAGTCATTCTAAATGGAGGGTTAATTAAGAATGGCCAAAAAAGGCAAGTAATGGAAGTAGAAAAAGCAAGTCACCTCCATGGAACCCAACGAATCATTGAGATATATATGTTCATCATCACCTTCATCTTTTAACTCAATAACTGAAATATAATTTTGTCGCTTTGACCAAAAGAATGTAAGGGTTTAGATTCTATATATTTACATTACATATAAAAGTACACTATAATTTACGAGAAGGTGAGTGTAAATATACACACACACATATATATAAGACTCGTACAAAACATATTTTGGAGTATATTCTTTAAACTTACAATGTGTTAAGGTTTAAAGGATACTCGCCCCAGTTAAAAATATAAGCAAGTTTTAGAAAAAATTGACATACTAATAAAGTCTTCATTCCTGTAAAAATATATATTTCTTTTTCTTTTTACCCCCAGTTCAAATTATCAAAGCAGTTCATGATGAGTGAGAAATACAATTACACAAATATCTAAGTTAATAAATATAAAGGGTAAAATGTGAAAATATATTTCATATATATTAAGTTGCTTATATTTTGAACTAAAATTAGCTAAAAAAAAATACTTATATTTTAAACTGGATGGAGTATAATTCAAACTATAGATCACGATGACAATGTGATTTACCCTAAAGCCAAAACAATTACATGGCCCAATCTACTAAATATATGGACATTATTAAACAATAGTATATAGATATAACTAGGATGAACCCAAAATTTTTTCCTTAATTAATAGAAAAGCAGGTATACTTGCTTAAATATCTTATGACTAATAAAATATACACGTACACGGTGGATTAGTTGTACATAGATAATACAAACAAACTAAGCATAGTCTGAAGGCTGATGGATTATATAGTAAATTACTTTACAGAAGGCTGATATATGGATTATATAGTAAATTACTTTACTGAATCAGTCATCTCTGATTGGCGGTTGCCGACAGAAAACATCATAAGTAATTAATTACAGACAGATCAAAGGCTTAACGTATGAATGAACTCCTTTTCCATTTTCACACACACGCACACATATATATATATGTGCTTTTTTATTATGTGCTTTTTTATTTTTATTTATAAGTAAAAATATAAATGTCAAGCAATAATCATTACATTTTCTAAAATTATCTCTTATAAAGTTAATATTTATTTTCACAAATTAAATAAATTTATTTTATTTATTATAAAGATAATTTAATTTAAAAATATTTTAATTTTAAATATAATTATTATATTTAATCAATATTTTTTTAAATTATGTGAATTGATTATTTTCTCTTGTATAAGATCTGTGACATGTTTTTATTGTTTAGAAATTAAATCTAGGATGATGATGAGTATACCCTTTTTGACGATCCACTATGTTGACGATCCCCTATGAGATCTCAAGTTTTTCCTGCAAATTAATAACTAACTATCTATGAGAAGATCTGGAAAAACTCGACTTGATCATATATATATATATATATATATATAACCTTCAACGAATAAACCTGAAAACCAACCTTCAACGAATAAACCTGAAAACCACATCAACATATATATATATATATATAGAAATTCATTAGAGAACTCGATAGCTACATCTCATGATCCTGATCTAATATGCCTAATTCATTGAACTAAACTCGAAATGATAAGAGAAATTCATAGATTAAAATGGAAATATATATACCAAGCCTCGCAGTGAAACCCTATATCCTGAAACTTGATTGATGATTTGACCCCATCTGTATCTTCCCACAGCTTTCTTGAACCGCAACAAACTCAGTGAGTGGAAATTAAACTCTCAAATCTATAATCAGTAATCGATGCAGTTCAAGAAAGCTGTGGAATAACACAAATAGGACCATGGACTTCAAAAAGCCAGAAACTCCACCGCCTTTGGAAGCTTCGTTAACAGCATCAAAACCCTAATTCAGGAGGAAGACGATGAAGGAAATATAACAGATCGAAGAGATAATGGAAATTAGAGGGCTTGGATGAGGGAGAGGAAAGCGGTAATATTTATAGGAGAATTAAAGGGTTTTTTTTAGAATTATTATTATTATTATAAAAAAAAGTCATCAATCCCTAAAAGAATATTGGACCTAAGATTACAGGTTATACGGACCTACCTAGAAAAGAGATTCAGAATTCCTAAAATAATGGAATCATCATGCCCCGTATGTATTGCCAGTTGCGAAGCCATCAATGAATGTGCGGCTACGATGCGCCTACCGGATCTGACGGTTGCGGTTACCATTTGTGGGTGACACGTCATGGGCCCTCCTTCAGATCTGTCTCTTTGTGGTCCCCATCCACTCTGCCTTCACGCGCTCGTCCGAGAGTTTAAGTCAGGTAAATTCCGAATAAATCAGTCATCAACCAGTATGACAAGTCATTAAACTCCATTAAAAACAATGTCTCGTCATATAAATACAAGTCTCTTTTTAAATAAAAAAAAAATTAACACAAATAATTTAATAAAGTTGTTTAAATATAATACTTATATTTAAAATTAAAAAAATTAGATTAAATTATTTTTATAATTAATAAAATAAATTTGTCTTATGAAAATAAACATAAACTTTATACGAAGTAATTTGAAAAAATATGATAAATATTTTTTAAAATTACAAAAAAGACATGTAAAGGTTTCTCTTATAATAAAAACCAACTAGATTTAAATATAAAAAAACTCCTAGATTTTATTATAGTTTTATCATATATGTATCGTTCTTATTTTTAAAACTTAGATATATTTTTTACAACTATTATATTCTGTAACTGTGATTAAGTTAGATTTAGATTTGAGTATTGTAAATATTTTTGGAAGAAATATTTTTATTCATGATTTTTTTGACAAGTCCATTTTTATTTAAAATCATAGAATACTTGAATTTATATCGACAATACATTTAATATTGTATGATTATCACAACATTTAGATATGCAATGGCACCTCACATTAGCATGGATAGAAGCAGTTAGGTAAGGATGATATCATTTATAATTTGGAAAAATTATCAATCCTTATAATTTCACATGACTTCTGAATATGTCTTTTTTCTTTTTTATTGGATCCTTATAAGTTTTTCATTTATATTGCTGCAATATCACTACCCGATCTTAGCTAGGTCAAGTTTGCCATTGATAGATAAGTTAATAGCAATGGAGCTGCTTCTTGTTGTAGTTTCATTCAAGATAGTCAAAGAAATTAGCTAAAGAGATTTTCTATATACCTTGATTATTACCCAAGCTCTGCTGCTGAGCTTTTAGGTATTCTCCATGGACTTAATCTCTTTTGCAAAGGAATGTTTATCAAAGTTAACGTCTGCTCTGACATCCTCAAAGCTCTCACTCTACTAATCATCCTGTTTGATAAGGAGTTATCAAGAACATTAGTGTAATATACTAAATTTCTTAATCCTAAGTTTAGAGATAAATCAAGGGTGAAGTGAAAATTAAAGTGGGATTAGAGATTCAGAGGAATAATTGGTATTTTGACTGGTTTGTGTGTTGTATAAACAGATATGGGTGATAGGAGTGCGTTATGGGTCGAATCAAGTGTGCGTGGTGAGATCTCACTGTGCCACGCGTCACGGCTTGTGCTGTATGTGCCGTGGTGCATGGACCAGAATTTGCCTTCATAAGTCATGAATTTCAGAAAATTTTAGAAGAGAGAATTTGAGAAACACACAAAACAGAGAGAGGAGAAGGGCTGAGAAGATAGGTTAAGTCATTTTGGAGCGGTGAAAGGTGATTCAAATTGGTAACTTGCTAGGTAAGCTACATATAACTCTTACCTTCCATTCTACACAAATTTCTCTGAAAATGAGTTATAGGGAAATTGAATTGGTGGAACTTGAGGGGTTTGATTCTTGCCCAATAGTAATAAAAAGGTTCTTGAAAGTTAAATTAGAGCTTTATGACTGGTTTAGAGCTAAATGATAGAGCTTTTAACCCGGAGGCTCAATTTTGGGTCTTTAAAGAGAGAAAGTTAGGGAAAAATTTGTCTTAAACGAAATAAGACTGGTTGATAATGTAAAATAGTAATTGGGTAGTTATAAACTTAGAATGGATAAATGAAAAAGAGTTTACGGATGAATATAGTCTTAAATTTTAAAAATGAGTTTTTGGTTAAAATGGGCCAAATGACTAAAATGTGCCAAAGATGTTCAGATTGGCATTTAGGCGAGTGAGCAGAGAAAGGAAGCTTGAGATAAGCTTGTACGATAGTAAAAATCTACAGGTAACCTTTCTAGTGACAGAAGGGTTAAGGTAACCAAATAACTTCCTTTATTTGACTGTTTATTGTAACTGTATGCTAATTTGCTATGTAATGCATGAACTAATTTTGAATTGAGCATGTTTTGTGGCATTGAGTGATTGTGTGTGTAAAATAACTTTTGGTTGAAATGAGCATTGAAATTTTGTTTTGTAATGTAAAGTGATATATATATATATATATATATGTTATGTATAAGAAAAAGTAAATTGTGAAAAGGGAACCTTAAATGGTTCGAGAAAGCATGATCTGAGTAGTGGGAGTTCACCCGAGTATAGGGAATGATAAAGACCATATGGCAAGGTTTCTTTAGTACCCTGTTAGGGTGCGGAGTTAGAAACAATTCTCCTTAGTGCCTTAAAAGGTGTTTAGAGAAGATCTCTTGAGTGCCTATTAAAGTTCTGTGTTGGAGATGAGAGATTCCTTAATATCTTTGTGATATGGGTGGGAGTCAACAATGCCCTATTGTGTATTGGGGGAAAACCATAGTTCGTATTATGCATTAGAATATCTTTGGCTGAGTGATTCTACCACTGTAGGTGAGCTTGAGACTAATGAGAGTGTACATTAGTATGAGATGAGCTTATGGTTTCATGTTAGGGTGATTTGGAGGTTTGGTTGGTAGAGATCATGCTAGTATTTTATGATATGATGAAATATCTTGAGATAGCACGAAATCCTTCGAGATTGATGAAAAGTAAAAAATGAAATGTGATATGATGTAAATATTACTTTATGAAATTTTAATGTTATACTATATTTACTTTCATATTGTTGCATGTGATAGTTAATAAGAGTGAGTTATTCTGTTATTGAGATTTTTATCTCACTCTCGTGGTTATATATTTACAGATCAGGAAGTAAGCAAGCCAAGGAAAGAGAGTCTAAACTGGCTTGAGTTGAAAAGCTGTGTGCTCTGAGGTTGTGTAATCAACTGAATTGAAATATTGTATATATAAGTGTAAATGAGTTGCCATAGGTTGCGTGCATGTATTGAATGGAGTTTTTGTGAAATCAAGCCCAATTATGTGCATATGTGTTGTTTAATACAAAAAGGGCTTGATTGGAAAAAGTTTGAGTTGAAATGGTTGTTTGCGTTAGTGAATCTTTAGCGAAAGGACAAATTATGAGAAAATGAGTAATTTGGGGGCTAAGATTATATTGTGATTATGTGTTGGTGAATCTTAAGCCAAAAGCCAAAATTATGATGAAATGAGTAATTTGGGGACTAAGATTGTATTATAAATATGATTGCATATGTTTGTATATAAAAGTAGCCAAGAGGGCTATGTTATACTAAGAAATGACATAATTTGTGAAATTAGAAAATTGTGAAAATTTGCCGTAGAGGGGTTAAATTTTGATATATGTATATAATTGTGATTAAACATGGTCAATCAGGTGTTTTAGATCCTTTTGGACTTAGTTCAAGGCCTAGTATGGTCCAATGAGAGAAAGGGATTGATTTGAGTGCTTGGATGTGCCAAATTTTCAAAAAAAGTGACTTTTTGCACCCGGATGTTTAAATTTTGATCAGACCGTTAGATTGTATCCAAATCTATTTCATTAGTTAGTATACGAGCTAAGCTTTGTGTGGGTGCTTGAATCACTCCAAGCGGATGTCGTGAAAAATGGTGCATGCTGAAAGTTTATCATTTTGCTGTTAAAATGATAGCAGAAAAACGGATAGGCGCGCTGCGACACATGGATACACATGTCACGGCGCACGTTGCGAAAAGATGAGCGTGTGGCTCTATGCCACATGCCGCGGCGCATTGACCATCCGCTGTGGCGAACGAACCAAAATTCAATTTTATTTTGTGTGTTGAAATGCATGCATTTGAGTTAGGAATGCTAGTGGGTTATGTCCACTATATATTTGGAAAGTATATAATTTATTTTTGTTGTATTTTCTCTAATTGAATTGTGATTTAATTGATTTTATAAAGTAAGTCTTTAGCCGAAGCTTTTGAAATGAATTTAATTATTGTGAATGATGTGAATTAATGATAACACAATAGTCTTCTCTTATATTAAGTGGATATATGAGAGGAGGTTACAATTAAGAACTTTGCCATGAAAGACTAAATAATCACTTTCGATAACGTGTTTAAAAAAAGCTAATAAATGTGTGGATTGCCTTGCTTGTAAAACTCCTTACTTAAGCAAAATTAATCTTTGAAATCCAAGATAATCAAGGGTCTAAACCCTAAAAAAATTTTCGAGTTTATAAAATTTGCAAGAGTAAGAACCAAATTTTTCACAATCTAAAGCTCTTCACAATGCACATATTTATCAAAAATCAGAGAAAATATTTATGGAATTATAGGAATCCAAAATATATATTTAACAATTGTAAAACATAGAAAACATCATCTTTAGTCAAAACAACACATGCGTTATAATGTCTGTCTTGACATTACTAAGACAATACTCTAACATACTATTGTGATAACCTAGATTAATTAAAATCCTAAATAAAAGTTATCACAACCTAAGGGTTTAAAAGTAATTCATTAAAACATTGAGATCAAAAGAAAACCTTCTTTGAAAAGTCATTTGAGCTCAAACTATAATTAAAAATAAATCAAATAAGATAACGAAAGCATGGGAATCAAACCACACTTGAAAATAAGTAAAAGAAAATTGAAATTTCTTTAGAAATTAGCCTATCCATTGTG